TGTGATGATTTGCGTGTACCTCCCAAATTTATCCGTCGATATTCATCATTCCCAAAGTTGAAAGTAATAGTGAAGTAGAGTAACTGTTTTTTAAACAAATTTTATTTGAAATTAATTTGTTTTTGAAATAAACATTTATGGTTTTTTGGTAAATCATGACAAAACTTAAGAGTTCCTATCAACTACCATTATCACATTAAGGGGTAATTACCTATTACCCATGGTCAGTTTTAATAGATTTTAACAACTTAATATAGAGAAAAATCTTTTAAATAAAATAAAATATGAAAATACAACATGTATTATATTCTATTATAATTTTATGAAATTTGTATACAATGTATGATAAATTTTAAATAAATCTATTAAATGTTACATGTTATGATCATGACTCAATGAACCAGACTGCCCTTGGCAAACATAAAGGAACCCATTGGGCATAAAGGAACCCATTGGGCATAAAGGAACCCACTGGGCATAAAGGAACCCATTTGGCATGGTATCCAAGAGCAACACCAGTTAAACGTCATCGACATTAATTCCGTATTGAATTAGCATTAACTACCGCACTGCACGAGCTGGATGCACTGGACACCACGAGCGTAGCTCTCATCCTGTAGCTACACTTAGGTAATTATAACACTTAGGTAATTACTGCGCAAAGCGCCTTAAGGGGCTCTGAGAATTGTGCTCTTTTTTTTTTTTTTTAATTAGGCTATATTCTTAATGTTTTTTTAATGCTTTCATCACTCTTTGTGTTTTGAAATGAAAATGTTTGGGTTTGGAAACATTTTGACATTAACTTTCCCTGAACATTTATAAAAACACCAAAAATATATCCTTAACAATTGCACTGTGAAGTTTTGCCGAAACCAGGTGTGCAGTGCGGTGGTTAATAATGTCAATTCAATGTCAAACGAATGCCACTCTTGGTTACTTCGCCACTGGGAAAGCACTTCGACATTCATTATCTAACTAAGTAAACAAGTACAGTACTGTATTATGCATGATGAAATCACAAAAAACCTGATGAATCTCTGAGAAAACAATGAAGCTCATTTGATAAGAGATCAAACCCACATCCCGGGACTCTCCACACACACACACACACAATTGACTCGCCAGTGCGCGTGTCTGGGGATTCCAGGGATGCCGGTTCAATCTCATCTTAAGGCCTCAAAACTTCCTCAATAAAGTATTATATTTCATGTTGACCATTCAAGAATCTGGAATATGACAATGTACCGCACTCTTATCGTAACCTTTGGTCAGACCGTATAAACTACCCAATGGGTTGGCATTGAATCAACTTTGATGACACCGATTCAGCACTGAACTGGCGTTATTACTCTTGGATATTGTACCCACTGGGTAACTTCCTACAGCAAGTTCTATGGATATATATGCCTGATGATTATATACTTGCTTTTCATCATTGTGTCAGGGCAGTATAGATCATACGGAGATGATACATGTTCGGCTCTCACACAACTTCATAAAAGTATTAGCGTTTCACCAAGCATCTTACCTTAAACCTGAGTCATTATAATTTGAACTTACACTTGGATTAAGGCCAATAATGTTTGCTTTTTCATATATGAAATGTTTAACATGCTTTAGTAAATAATAAAGTGTAGTTGATGTAAAGAAGCCATGTTCTGTTACATCCAAGTACATGTATACAGCTTTATTAAAATAACTTATAAATACAGTGATCTGTCCACTACATCTGTAAACATCATGACAACAGCTAATTTATGGTTTACATGACAATGTCACACCGAAGGTGACTCCTCATACTCAACGATCATGACACTGTCACACTGAAGGTGACTCCTCGTACTCAACGATCATGACACTGTCACACCAAAAATGACTCCTCGTACTCAACGATCATGACAATGTCACACTGAAGGTGACTCCGCACACTCAACGACCAAACTTCAAAACTAGGTACAGTAATTCCCTGCTCATCAAGCTGCACATACAACGAAAATGAATACAGTGGGACCTTCATTATCGGCACCAATAATTACCGGATTTTCGGGTTATCCAGTTCTATAACCCCTTTACCCAGCAAGATTTGGTGCAAGTCAGTGGCAGCAGACATTTATTTGCAACAAATATCACACACAATTCATTATTTCCTGCATATAAATTGGGGCATTCCTATTAAAACTGTTGCAGGTGCTTTTAGCATATGTCTATTAGAGTATTTTCAGAATGTGTCTATTACAGGCATTTTTAGCAGTTGTCTATTACAAGCATTTTTAGAAGCTGTCTATTACAGGCATTTTTAGTGCATGTCTCTTACAGGTATTTTAAACACATGCTTATTACAGACCTATTTTTCATGTGTCACTCAATAATATAAATATAAAAAATTAATATTGATAAAGTATTAGCTTTCAATTTTATCTTCATTTATCCAAATTTCTGTTTTCTAGACGTTGAGAGGCACTAATTTATCCCGATAATTGGGACCACACTGTAAATAGTCTCCATAACTTATTTCTTCCTTATTTAAGCCAGTAACCTAACCACAAACCACCCCATCTTAACAGCAGCATTCTCCTGCTAATCATCTCTCTACGTGCGTTAATATCCATCAAAAGTACTTAAGTATGTACCATACATGAAAACGTCACTCTATATACATTTTCATACACTGCTACATCTGTATTGTACAGGGTGCCTGCCCTCTGTTTACCTCCGTGTGTGGTAAAGCAACCATACTCGGTGGCTCTTTGAGAGTTAGCATGGTAAATGTATTGACTGGCTACCAGCTGATGGAGAGCCTGTAACGTTACGATTTACTACCAGTTAATGGGCAGCCTGTAATGTGATACAACACAAGGTGTGACAGTAAGTGTTACAAAACAAGGTAAAGTATGTCAGTAAGTGTTACAAGACTGGCTACCAGATGACGGACAGCCTGAAATGTTACGACTGGCTACCAGGCAATGGACAACCTGTAATGTTATGACTGACTACCAGACGATGGACAGCCTGCAACGTTACGACTGACTACCAGACGATGGACAGCCTGCAACGTTACGACTGACTACCAGACGATGGACAGCCTGCAACGTTACGACTGACTACCAGACGATGGACAGCCTGCAACGTTACGACTGACTACCAGACGATGGACAGCCTGCAACGTTACGACAGACTACCAGTAACGGCTGAGTGACGGCCAATATTGCATGATAACAGAGAAGGCTTCCACTTGTCACCTGGTAAGAATGACAAACTTGGACACTGTCTTTGAAGGAACACAAAGTACTGCTATAAGAGATATTTGATTGGGGTTTAGTGTCACTTAATGACAAATACAACAAGCTGACCAGACCACACACTAGAAGGTGAAGGGACGACGACGTTTAGGTCCGTCCTGGACCATTCTCAAGTCGATTGTGAGAATGGTCCAGGACGGACCGAAACGTCGTCGTCCCTTCAACTTCTAGTGTGTGGTCTGGTCAACATACTTCAGCCACGTTATTGTGACTCCTCGCCTGCACAAATACAACATGTCCCCCCAACATTTTATCATCCATAAAGCTACTGTAGCTGGAACATATAAAATGTAGACTTTGGTACCCATTAATAAAACTCTGTTGTTTGTGCCAATGGAAATCAGAGTCACAGAAACTGAAACGGACTAACCATGAACCTAACCTCCCACAGGACTAAATATATACACTCGTAGGCCTTGCGTTCACAATCTTAGGCCTAATTTAGTACATATATTAACTATACTAGGCCTAAAAAATATTGAAATAGCTTTTTCAAGAACTATCCACATTTGTCGAGACGTAAATTATGGATGACTATTTCTTTGGTAGCTGTGTTGGGATTTGTAATTATTGTTTGAGAGGCTTTTATTATAAGTCGAAAAAGATTTAGATCTCTTTTTACACCTACTTCTAAGGTTAGATTTGGTTCTTGGCTTCTTTCTCAGGTCCTATAAAGAAAATAAATACCCAGTACTGTTGTATAAAACGGATTTTTTTCCCTTTTTTTCTTTTTAGTGTGCAAGAGTGCACCTTTTGTATATTCCATCCACGGTAGCTACAGTTACTATACATTTGCATTAGAGGATGGACAAATAACATGTTACTGTAGGACACTGTGTACCTGGAGCATACCCCCGGGGGGAAGGGTTTTCGAGAGTTCTACTCCCCGAGCCCGGCCTGGGGGACAGGCTAGGCATTCACTTATCAGCATTTTGCCACATAATTCTTTCAGAAATACACTACAGTAATAGCCAAAAACAAATGCAATGTGTATATAGTTTTAAAGCAATATTAGGCCAAATTGACAATGTTAGTTTTAACTACGTAATTGTTAAAGCCAAAATTATGTGGTTATAATATAACTATTAGAAGCTCATGACACAATCACTGCCAATCACCATCCCAATCACCACCACAATCACCAACACAATCACTGTCACAATCACTACCAATCACCATCACAATCACCGGCAATCACCGTCACAATCACAAACATAATCACTGTCACAATCACCGCCAATCACCGTCACAATCACCACCAATCACCAACACAATCACTGCCAATCACCGTCACTATCACTGCCAATCACCATCGCAATCACTGTCACAATCACTGCCAATCACCGTCACAATCACCATAAGTGCCCTGTACCTATTTTTTCCGTTATATTATAACCCATTTATACTGCTGTTCTTAAATTTTAATTGACTTCTGATTATTCAGATTAAAATTGACATTAAGTTTTTAAAACTTATTAATAAACCTGCTGGACTATATAATTAGCACGCGAGTGATAGATGGGAAATGGAAATGCAGAATAATGAATTATGTAACAAAATGCTCTCTCCTATAACATTAAAATTTTTAAGAATAGTAAAATACTTTATAAATAAATCTGCAAATATATTCATCTAATACAGTGTGTGTATATATATATATATATATATATATATATATATATATATATATATATATATATATATATATATATATTCAATTATATATGTTATAATTTAGTTTACCACCCCCACTGTGTCATTTTCTATGGTTATTCTTCATTTATGAAGAGACTACAGAATTACTAGTATAGCACACTCAGTTTTTCGAGATCAGTGGCTCGTAGCGGGAGAGTACAGCAGCTTGTACTGGGAGAGTACAGCAGCTCGTATTGGGAGAGTACAGCAGCTTGTACCTGGAGAGTACAGCAGCTTGTACTGGGAGAGTACAGCAGCTTGTACCGGGAGAGTACAGCAGCTCGTACCGGGAGAGTACAGCAGCTTGTACTGGGAGAGTACAGCAGCTCGTACCGGGAGAGTACAGCAGCTCGTACCGGGAGAGTACAGCAGCTCGTACCGGGAGAGTACAGCAGCTTGTACAACAAGAGTACAGCAGCTCATACTGGGAGAGTACAGCAGCTCGTACCGGGAGAGTACAGCAGCCTGTACTAAGAGAGTACAGCAGCTCGTACTGGGAGTACAGCAGCTCGTACTGGGAGTACAGCAGCTCATACCGGGAGAATACAGCAGCTCGTACTGGGAGAGTACAGCAGCTTGTACTGGGAGTACAGCAGCTCATACTGGGATACAGCAGCTCGTACCGGGAGAGTACAGCAGCTCGTACTAAGAGAGTACAGCAGCTCGTACTGGGAGTACAGCAGCTCATACTGGGATACAGCAGCTTGTACAGCTCATACCACGGGGTACAACAGTCTGTAGTGCCAGGTAGTCTCACACTTGCCACGACCAAGCCTAACAACAGCTTTAAATCATAATAATTTAGTGCCAATCCTTTCTGTACCAACAGAAGAAACAGGTTTGCTAACACCCACATACAAACAAGTTGCAATATTTATACCATTTACCTAGATACATGATCAACCAGGCTGTGACTCGTATGTCAGGCTGCGAGCAGCCGCGTCCAACAGCCTGGTTGATCAGTCCGGCAACCAGGAGGCCTGGTCGACGACCGGGCCGCGGGGACGCTAAGCCCCGGAAGCACCTCAAGGTAACCTCAAGGTAAGGTACCTATGTACTCCTTAACCAGATGAGTCAGCTACAACATACACAACTCATCCTCATGGATATGAAAATTTCCTTCATGGTATATGGCATCTTCAAACTGTCCTTTACAAGCATGCATTATTTCATTGCAGGTCCAGCCCGTCCTCTCGACTAGTGTCGTTATGGTATGTTATGGTAGCCAATGTATTAAATGCAACGTACTATGTAAAGCAGCAAATCACAAAAATCAACATATTCTATGCATTGACTGGTTCATGTGTTTCCGGTTAGTTTTGGACGTTGTATTTTGTATAGTGTGGCAAATCGAGAGGAGAGGCTGGCAGGCAAACACACCCCACTACACCACAAGTGCCCTGCTACCATTCCATGAACTACACTAGTAATATCTCTGTGACTACCTTCATGTGTAATTTCATACCAAAATCTAAACTTCTTTGCATTTCTTTGGACGACTTCAACACCTCGTAAGTCAGTATTAAGTGTCCTGGGCAAGGAGGGGCACCTGGGTACCTATGGTTAACTGTTGCCCCCCCCTGTTAACCCAACCATAATTGGGAACCTGGTTGCAAACTGCCTGTGGGTCATGTTCCAGAAAAAACTAGTTGATACCTGCTGGAGGGGGTTCTGGGAGTTATTCTACTCTCCAAGCCTGGCCTGAGGCCAGGCTTGACTTGTGAGAGCTTGATCCAATATGCTTGGAGTGGCCCGCAGGTCCACATATCCACCACAGCCCGCTTGATGCGGCACTTCTTGAAAAAAGTATCCAGTTTTAGTTACGTAAGGCTTACAACCTGCTTCAGGAAGGGAGCCAGCACTAAGCATGCACATAAACTCAGTGAACTGTTAATGCAATACAATACACAGCTAACTCCAAAAAGACTGCCAACATATTAATAATGAAGAAACAAACTCCCTTTCAAATCAATGATGTGATGATGCTCATCAATTAAACTATCTGAAGCCCTAAAGTTGTTTATTTTGAAGCCTATTTTTGTTGTTTTTGCAACAATAATACAACCAACCTTCCTGGCTATACAGTACTGTACTTAGTAATCTAGTTTTTATTTCACTTTACACCCCTTTTGTATACTACAGTGTGAATCGCTCCTGTATATCTGCTTGATACCTTCTTGATGGAGTTCGGGGAGTCTTCCTACTTCCCAAAACTGTCCCGAAGCCAGGCTTGACTTGTGAGAGTTTGGTCCAACAGGCTATTGCTTAGAGCGGCCCGCAGGCCCACATATCCACCACAGCCCAGTTGGCGAGGCACTTCTTGAAGAAAGACACTGTATGTATACTGAAAGACACTTTCTTCTTAAAGAAAGTATACACTGTACTAAGTCACCGCCTACGATGTTTCTTGTACTTGTCACTAAGGGGAGTTCAGGAAAGTCGTGCCAACACTCTCGTTCTAAATGAGGAACCCTCTGATACTAATGTGCCGTACTAAAATGTCTGTAAACTATTCATGTGCTGCTCAGGGTGTTGTAGGTGGCTGAGCAGCTGATGCTGATGTTGTTTTCCGATTGTTTGTTGTACGTGCCTGCAACACTTATAACTGCACTTGCCTTCAACACATGTTCTTACCTGCATCACTCACACTTACTTTACTTTCAACACTTACACTTAATTTGCTCTCAACACTTACACTTGCCTGCAACACAGTCATAACAGAAGCACACTTTTATCATGAAATTATTTTCATCCTCAATGTAGCAACTACAAATTCTATATTTAGCAACATCCGGCTCGTACATACATGAAGTACACTTTCACTAGCTTTTCCAGTCCATAAACACAACAAATTACAATGTTAATTCATGTTAGTATTGAATGTGTTTTTCAAAGTTCTAAGTCAACATTTACCATGCCTGAAAGGTGCTGTAAGAGTCTAGGTATTTTAGTTAAAGAGTGTTCCGTATAAATCTACTAGACCGGAAAACGACCTGTCGTCAAAATATCATATTGACCATATTTTTTTGGTGAATATGCGAGTCTACCATGCAATTCTGTGTATAAGAGATCACGTTCTCTACAGTTCTCTACAAGACAACGCATATTACGCAAAAGGTTAGGGTTTTTACCCATTCAGAAGGGGGTCACAGACACAAAATATAATGATGGCAGCTCTGTGATTTTTTTTTAAGGCAATTATTTCATGTACATTGTCATTGTTTTTATTGTGTAAAAACTCTTATCACGTAATTACCTCAGGGGAAATAAGATATATAACCACATTCAAACTAATTCAACATAACACTAATTTTCTCTATATAAAACACGATGCAATTATTGACCTTAAAATAAGGTCATATAAATGTGAATTGTCACAATGAGTAATGATAATAATCATCTTGACCAGTGTTACACACTGTCAACTTAATACAACCGTTTGACTTCACCGAGACCGCCCTCTTCATGAAGACCCAAAACATAAACTTTTTTGAAAAGTCAAATACAACTGCTTACAGCAGGAACTATTTGGACAAATATTCATGATTATAATCAAGTGATTGTAAGCAAATAAGGCAACTAGAGCTTCCCTGTATTATAAATTAAAATATAAAGAAAAACATTTAGGCAGGTAGACCTTGATGTGTAGAGTAAAGTTGAAGCGTGAGGTAGGAGGCAGGTAGCCAGTCAATTATTCAAAATAACAAACCAGGTGGGAGAGACGACTATGAACAATGTGCTATTGTAACTCATAATAAAACTCACTGGAATGATGCTGAATTAGTCACCTCTGCTTAGACAACAATGTTTAAAACATTAACATATATGAATGCTATATATATTGTCACACAACTACAAACATCTCATTCTTAATTATGCATGTTACGCCACTTCAAAAATCTCCTGATCTTTCGAGGTTATTCGCGTCACCAAATACAAGAGAACCTGCAACTTGCTCCATATTCCATGTGTTCGATAGCTTTAAAAACTAGAGGCTATTGCTCCTGACAAACATCAAGCTTCATTATTTTAATTTAATTACTCCAATATAACCATATTTGTTTCCTATACAAATGTTTCAACAGCGTTAAAAAAATCAGATTGGTTTATCACGGAGAGAAAGCACAACAGCTCTCTGGTTATGTGTACCGGTATACAGTACCATATACCAGTAGGCCTTGCTGGCGAGGTAAACACCATGGCCTGTGCTAGCCGAGGGTGAGACTCGACCATCAAGTTACTGGTCAAGCTTTATACTGTAGTGCTTAGCCAGATTAAACCAAACAACTTGCACATCGAACACAATATTGCGTCAATGGCAATTTACTGTTTAGTCTACTCTGTGCTTTAAAACCTGATTGATTAAGCGCTAAAAATATACTGTAGTTTCGATATCAACTTTCGTTATGGCTGGAATTTCTAATTAAGAAACTAGTACAGTACGAACAACCGCTGATAAGCAGCATTCCATGTTTTAATTCAAAGTCAAAAAGCTTGATATACTAGATACCTTCACCATTATGATTGAAAGTGCATAAATTCCACTTCCCTTAACCGTGCTCCAACCTAAGACAACTCAGACATAAGATAATGTTTCAGCTCACGGTGGACTGAAACAACATCATATACATTTTCTATGTGCAGGTTGGGCTATTTTCTTCAACCACGTTGTTGTAATTTATTTTCTGCATAAGACAACTCTCACTGTACTTTTATTTCCATGAAAACTGTCTTCTCAGCGCTTTTCATCTTCAGAGCAATAACCTTTACTTTGCCATTCCTTGCTTTCTCTTAGAGCAACAACTGGATTGCACTGCAATTAAATATACAGCAATTTCAAAATGTATATAGATATTTAAATGTTTTAACTTCAATAAATATATCACCCTTTATCTCCCCATACATATAGATCCCTCATTTACATCACAATAAGGCTTGAAACTCCCTGGAAGCTATGGTGAATTCACATGATTTTGTGAAACTCACCTGAAGTAACAACGCAGTCATACAACCCATGTCGCGTATTAAACGTTCTGATGAAAACGGAAATGCCAGTTCAGTGCAAGCCACACCCAGTCTGGCACTAGCTCTCTGACCAACCAGTCCTCTCACCTAATATGTCGCATTTTGTATGAATTGACCAATCCATTAAAATGTGTCATATTAGTCAAAATTAAAGCACCATAATATTGATGTTTTCTATACATCAACCTTGAAAGATTTGGTGGGATGCTTTGGTTCATAGATTTCTGGTTAGGCAAAACAGTTGCATTTTTAACGGAGAGGCAACTTGAGAGAACGGGTTGCTCTGACGAGCTAGAGAAAAGTACCGAGACTCAGATGGTCCCTCATAAAATAATAATGGGATCAACACCTCTTAACAAAGGGCTGAACCTACCTTGTTAAACGTACACATCCTGTTTGGCAAGCAAAAACCTGGCGTTTCTTTTCATTACACGACTGGGCTCTACATGCACAGCGACTGCTTATATAAAGTCGACTTAGCTACTGAAGGAAAGGATGATGCAAGAGACAATCTTACACAGTCATACTGTAATTCATTCTCACTCTCCTCGTTGTAAAGACACTTTTGTCCAGTTACAAAATGATCACAACACTTACCCCAATTATTAAATAGGCTTGACATGAGCAGGCATGAATAATGATCTAGTAATGAAGTATAGGGTGTTATGAAATTCTATTTATAACACTTTGCAACTCTTTTTTTTTGGGAAAACTTGTCGTACGGAGGTGTTGTCTGCATATATCATGCAATAATAGAGCAAGTGATCTTAATTGCAATAATAGAGCAAGGTATGTGATCTTAATTGCAACCGTTAATTTTTCTTGATAATCCTTGCAGTTATTTTTAACACTTCCAGATGATCATTTTGATTATTAGAATCATACTCTTCAGCTCCCAGGCTGATGTATATTGTATCACAAAACATCAATGGGCATGCATATGATGTCACAAATTGGTTATGAGGACTGATATGAGGCTGGTTTCATAAATGTAGCTTTTCAAAACACTCTATTTTTCTTGCTGTAAAAGTTTTATGGATACTTCAATACTATACTTTTTTTCAACTCTCACAGCTTGTCTAATGCACACAATACCACTAATCCTTTTCTTTTTTATTAACCAAATGTATTTATTTTTTCAACCTCGGAAGTATGCTTAATACATCTGAAAGCATCCATAAACAAGAACACAATACAAATTGTACTCGACACAATGAAAATACACTTTACACATATTTTGATAACAGCCCGTGGTACGATGGCGCTCAAATATATACTTCCTGCGTGAAGGGGATAGGAATCTCAAGTTTCAATAACTCGATAATCTCTATCCTTTTTTGCTACTCGTGTTTTAATGAGTATGAGCACAGTTTTGTTTGAAGTTCACTGAGAAGATGGGGTGGTAAAATTTCTTTCAGTGAGCTCACATTATCTAAGTTATCAATGTTTGAAACGTAATCGAGCAATTGCGTAAGTACATCTATTTCTACATTTGAAAGGTCCTCTGAAAAGAGCTCGGTGAGCGGCGACTGGGAACTTTCTGGCGAGGAGCTCGACGTGTCTGAATATGGAGAAGGAGCAGCCATTGGTGACGGTAATGGCATTTCTGCCACAGGTACTATATTAGGCTCTTTAACAAGAATGTTAGGGGATGGAATAGCAACAGGGGGAGTGTATGATGATACAGGAACCATGTGGGTGACCTGCAGAGGCACCATGTCATTTGAATGGCCAGGGCCATGTGGAGATGACACTGGGAGTGGAGACAGTCTCATATTCAAGGTATGTAGAGGTGAGGGTGGGAGCATATCAAAAGAATCGGTAGATTCCATTGGAGACAGTGGAAACGTACAACCAACTGTTGGATGTGGGGGAGATGGTGTGGACTGATGTTGGTGTAGCTGGTGAAACTGCTGCTGACCAAGAGGTAGGTGAGGCTCAGGTTGCAGGTTAAAGTGGCCAAGAGGACTAGGATGCAAAGGCGGCAGCAGAGCACTGCTTGGGCCAGGAGATGGTAAATCCTGAGTATCACAGCTTTCATCCACACATTCTTGTTTAACTTCAACCATACGGCGCTTGGAGCCTATTCGGTGATGCTTGGTCTGTTGCATCTTGTTAGTTTTTGGAGCAGCAGAAGATAAAGGATTAGAAGAGGTTCTGGTATTCCCAGCACCAACTTTTTTAACAATCTGGATGATAAAAGGAAGGAGAGATGGAACCCGCAAATGTATGGAGGAACTATGCATCTGATCCATGATCTTCTGCATTATTTTTTGGTATGTGTGATCTCGTGCTCCACCTGTGGCTTCCAGTCGTGCAACCTTTTGGGCAGCTGCCGTATTGAGTGCATTATCACTTTCAAGATCACAGTCTTCTTCCTTAACAAGTATATGTTCTGCATCATCATTTTTAATTGTACTTCCTTCTTCGTTGGTTTCCATCGGTGATACAGATGACGCATGAGACTGGGATTTTGGCAAGAATGAGGACAGGCAAGGTATATTTGACGCAACACCCTGCTGAATACGCATCTGACTTGTACGCTCAGCTAATTCTCGAATATCAGCAAGGGATACAATAACTTTGGCAAACATTAGGGTTGACTGCTCCTTGTATTTCCATCCTACATAATTCTGTAATATACGTGTATATCGATCTTGCAGACCTTGAATAGTATCTTTAGCTTCCAGTCCCATTAATTCAGGGGAATACAGGGCCACCAGTATGAGTATCATTGCCATAGTTTCATCGGGACAAACTTGCTGAAACTTTCGAAAAAATTGTTCAACACGTGTCATAAGTTCAGCAGGCACAAAACGCTCCACATTCTGTGAAGTGACATTGGGTACAAAGCCACTTCTAGATATAGCCTTCCCTGGCCACCTGCCAGTATTAGAATCATACACAACAGATCCCATGATAATGCAAGCTGAGGTAATTGCTGTTTTAAGGAGCAGTGCTTGGTCACTGCTCGGAAGGTCGGCAAATTCACGGAAGAGAGAAAAAAAATAACCAATTCTTTTACAAAATGTCATCCATGGTGACATTACTCCTGATGCTCCCTCCTGTGGGTCACTTTCTTCGTATGGGACATCTTGGTAGGCTTTTTTATACAAGGAGACAATAATCGAGATCTCTGTCCGATCTTCTTCAGTCAAGTTGTACTTATCTGTACTGCTGCTGGACGGAACGTGTTTCTTATGGTCGTCTTTCGTCTTTTTCTCTTGACGTTGTTGCATCATCTTCCGGCGCTCATCTTCTGTCATTACCCAGCCTTTTTCCATTCCAATAGATAGACATTTGTGAAACCTGAAAAAGCAAAAACCTTTTTATTTATTTATATATACAAGGGTTGTTACACTCTTGTACAGCCACTAGCATGCATAGCATTCTGGGCAGGACCTTAATCCTAATTTTCCCCGGAATACGACCCGCCACATCATTTACCTTGATTACTTGATTACAAATTTTAATTACAAGATGTACTTTAACAATTCTGTGATGTACAGACATTTTTAATTAATACTGTAACTGCCTATGTAAAACAAGACACGGTACACATCAAATAAGAGATTGGTTGCTTTAATAGTGTTATCTTCTTGAGGTTATCTTGAGATGATTTCGGGGCTTTAGTGTCCCCGCGGCCCGGTCCTCGACCAGGCCTCCACTCCCCAGGAAGCAGCCCGTGACAGCTGACTAACACCCAGGTAATTATTTTACTGCTAGGTAACAGGGGCATAGGGTGAAAAAAACTCTGCCCATTGTTTCTTGCCGGCGCCCGGGATCGAACCCGGGACCACAAGATCACAAGTCCAGCGTGCTGTCTGCTCAGCCGACCAGCTCCCTACACAACACAACAAACATGACAATTAACATCATATGCTGCTCCAAATGAGGCTGCTAGTTCACTCGGGCTCACACACCATCATATCTTTTCACCTAATACGTTGAATTTTTTATGAAATCGGCCAGTCTATTAAAAATGTGATGTATTGTACTGTATTGCTAAACATTAAAGCACAAGGATACATTTTAAGGAAACATTTTATATGTATAGGTGTGGTTATCTCGAGGTTATCTTGAGAAGATTTCGGGGCTTTAGTGTCCCTGCGGCCCGGTCCTCGACCAGGCCTCCACCCCCAGGAAGCAGCCCGTGACAGCTGACTAACACCCAGGTACCTATTTTACTGCTAGGTAACAGGGGCATAGGGTGAAAGAAACTCTGCCCATTGTTTCTCGCCAGCGCCCAGGATCGAACCCGGGACCACAGGATCACAAGTCCAGCATGCTGTCCACTCAGCCGACCGGCTCGGTGAACAGGATACTTTTTGCGAAATGTTGCTGAAGCACTAGTTGATGGTGTTGGTCAGGTCATTCAAGGTATTGACATTTTCTATGCACTGGCCATAAAAGGTTTGGTGTGTTGCTTGGGTTTCATACGTTTCTAATTAGGCAGAACGGTTCCACTTTTTATAGTGTGGCAAATCGAGAGAAGGGCTCAAACACACTGTTTGAATTTTGAGATTCCTCATAGTTTTTTTTAGTGTACTGCAACTTTATGGATTATAATACCATAGTTGTATGGGAGTCGGGTCTCCTCCATAGTTTCATGAGCTTAAGGCTAAACTGCCAAGCCTTAAGAATTTTCACTATGCTTTAAGACTCGCCCTCATCTACCAGAAAACCAAAAAAACAGAATCTCTCTACGAAGTGAGAGGGATATACTTGGAGCATACCAGGAGTGCCAGGAGTGCCAGGAGAATACCTGGGGCAGATACTGGCCAAGCCCACCCTGAGGCCAGGCTCGTCTTATAACTTGATACAGAAGGCTGTTGCTTGGAGTGGCCCGCTGGCCCACATATCCATTACAACCTAGCTGATCCGGCACTTCCTGTAGGATCTTACCCAGTTGTTTTTAACACATGTCCACTTTTATTCCAGCAATATTTCTTATATTTGTTTGGAGGATATTAAAGACCTGAGGACCTCTGATGTTCAAACAGTATTCACCATTTTATCTCTGGCATCTCTGCTCCTCACTGCACATCCTCCCATGTCTTTAACTCTAGTATGTTGTTAATTTTGTGTGCGTATTAGTGCGTATTACTGGAGAAAGTCCACCAGTATTTTCACATATATATACTATATTATGTGATACCTCTTTTGTCTCCTTTTCACAAAGTACATTTCAAGTGCTTTTAGATGGTCACAATAACTGAGGTTTGTAATGTCTATTTGTGCCATATATGTTTTCTGATCAAAGATCAATCCTAAACCGTGAAAAAACACTGGATAGAATAGACGCAATAAAACAAGCAACCGCTTCAAGGAAATTGGGTGATCTGAGGTAAACAAGGATATTATTATTACTGTGGGGATAAATACATGATGCTATGACTCATGTGTCAGGCTGTGAGCACCCGCATCAAAGAGCCTGACTGACAAGACCACCAACCATGAGGTCTCGACAGCGACTGGGCTCCGGAGACACTGATCCTCGGAATCATCGACAGGTATTAATAGGTATACATCAAACTGCCACCAGATGGTAGCCCAGGTCATCCAGGGTCACAGCCAGCCTACCTTCTCACTCTCCTGCTCACTGTAACTGAAACGCGCTGCGAACGGGGCCATCCTCTGCCTCATACTCTCAGTTGGCTATCTCCGGAATGCTTGTTCCTCCAGGGTCTACTGCTTTGGTATTGTTTCATTTATCCGTCTTTAATTATGTTCCTTTATCCTTCATAAATATGTTTTATTTTACTCAATTTGCATGTGCCCTCACTTTGCAATTTACTTTGCCTGTGGGCTCATGTTACCTTGCTTGATAGTCAGTTTACATTGCCTTTGTCCCATCATAGATATTGGCTCTGAGGAGTTCAAGTAGAGATACATAATAATTTACACGTGGAAAATATTAAGAGGGCTTGGTCCCAAACCTGCACACAGAAATAACAACACCTGAATGCAGAGGCATGGCAGGATGTGCAGAATACCCCCGTTGAAAAGCAGAGGTGCAACAGGTATTCTGAGAGAGAACTCTATCAACCTCAGAGGCCTGAGACTTCAACATGCTTCCACTACACATAAGGGGCATAATTGGCCGACCCCTCACAGTGTTCAAGAGAGAACTATCAACATCAGAGGCTGGAGACTGTTCAACATGCTTCCACTACACATAAGGGGCATAATTGGCCGACCCCTCACAGTGTTCAAGAGAGAACTATCAACATCAGAGGCTGGAGACTGTTCAACACGCTTCCACTACACATAAGGGGCATAACTGGCTGACCCCTCACAGTGTTCAAGAGAGAGAACTTGATAAACACCTCCAAAGGATACCTGATCATCCAGGATGTGACTCATACGTCAGGCTGCAAGCAGCCACGTCCAACAGCCTGGTTGACCAGTCCAGCAACGAGGAGGCCTGGTCAAGGACTAGGCTGCGGGGACGCTAAGTCTCAAAATCATCTCAAAGTAACCTCAAGGTTAAGGTAACCCAGGTTAATCCTTTACAAGTTGACTCCTCTTAAGTCTCCCACTTCTGGGATGCATATGATACTGTACTTTTGTTTTTTTTCATCCACGGCAGGACTTCATTTCCACTGTGGGGCTTTTTGATTGGGAGTGTAGTACAGTAGTTATCAGTGTGCTTGTGTTGCAAATGTATCTGGAGCCTGCTCCTTGTGCATGTTGGGGTTCTGTACTTTTGTTACAGGTGCACTTGGGTTGCATATCAGATTTTTCTGATATGCAAGGTTGCATATTATGCTACAGTATCTGTGGCTTCATGTGCCTTCTCAGTCAGAGTGCAGGTATTTTCTTGGCCGAAACACTTCCCATGAGGCTAGTTTCCCTAATCCTTGTGATTAATTTTTTGTTTACGTTCTCAATCACATTATGGCTTCCCAATCTGATTACATACACAACTCTGCAGTTTGCAGTTGCAGCTATCATTCCTGCCCTAATTAGCTGCTGCGAGCTTCTGCCTTTGTATGCTGGTTGTCAGTGGCCGTGTTCTTCTGTCCTCGTACTGGCTGCAGTGAGGCTGTGCCCTGTGGTGGTGGCTTTTTAACTCGGCCTTTGTGGCAACGGCTGTAGGGCCTCTGCCCCACAGCCTCTTGGTTGCCAGGGTATGCTCCATGTAGCCCAGAATGCTGTGGCTCCCTTGTGCATACTTACCTTACTATCAAGGCATTAAGGTCTCTGGATGTTTGCCACTCTCTTCCTGCTTCCTGGCTTGACCTCCATCGGCTGGGGTGTTGAGGAGCTGCATAACACATATCCCCAGATTTCAGCAGAGGGTGTGCTGGTGGGGGCAGGGTTACCAGGTTTACATTCCCCTCATTCCTCCATATATATTGGATTTGCTCAAGGGGGGTGGCAGGTTTTTTCTCTACCTGCTTCACTTCTCTCGAGTCATCTCCCACTTGGGCACTGCGCATAAAATTTATTATCCCTGCTGGGCCTGTTGATAGGGAGAAGATAGTCTTTATTTGATTTGAGAATGTATAACATTCAATCACATAACAATTTACTGAGCCATTCAAACTGTGTACAGGTACTTGGGCACGTTAAAAAGCAGTCCATGTGCACAATCCAGCTTCTGGCGCATTTTGGGTTGGTGACACACACAAAAAAGGCAGCACTGTACCTGTACTAGAATTTATTATTTTCATTCACAAGATTGGTGACTAAAGTATTAGGTAGGTAAATACTGTACACCATTTGTATTATTATACTAGAAAATCACTGTATATATACATACATATATTATGTGTATGCTTAAAAAATGTACAAAGCTGTAAAAAAAAAAATCATTTTGAGGCAATGGAGGGACTTGAACCAGCGTTCCGGTGATTCCCAGACACCCGCCTTAAACCGACTCGGCCATGATGGGCTAAAAGTACTAAGTACAAAAAAGTTCATGTACAAAGATGTGTTCTATAATTAGCTATAAGAAATTGCCAAAAAGTTAAGTAACCCAAAATTCAAATGTGTGTACAGCACAGTATCAGTAAATTTGGATCGGGTCTAGAACAATGTACAGGTACTGTGCATGAATAGTCCTGATTCTGGAGGCACCACTGTAACATATAGGGATATTAGTTCAGAAATACTAACGATCTCCACTTCAATGTCATCGGTTCTGTTGACCAGACCACACACTAGAAGGTGAAGGGACGACGACGTTTCGGTCTGTCCTGGACCATTCTCAAGACAATCGACTTGAGAATGGTTCAGGACGGACCAAAACGTCGTTGTCCCTTCACCTTCTAGTGTGTGGTCTGGTCAACATACTTTAGCCGCATTATTGTGACTCATCGCCTGCATCAGTTCTGTAATACAGTACTGATGAGTAATACATGAGTACAACTGGGGGGGCGGGTACAGTGGTCTACGCTCTTGACTCACTAACGAGGATCCTGGGCTTGATCCCTGTGCGGTACAGAAATAGCTGGACACATTTTCTTCATCTGATGCCTCTGTTAACTTAGCAGTAAATAGGTACCCAGGGAGTTTGGCAACTGTTGTGGGTAGCATCCTGGAGAGGGTTAGTAGATGACCTAAGGGGACCTTGATAAGCTTAGGTACAGGCTTCCTCTCCCTAACAATGGGAATTGACAAAAAATTTACACCCAAAAATCTATTCATTGGACAGTATGCACTTTACAGTAATGTCTGTATCTTTCTCCAGCTTTTCCTTGAGATTATTAAGATGTGCTGTAATCAATTAATAATTAATTCTAGCCTTAGATTATTTAAAAAAAAAGGACAGGAGTAATATGCTTAATAATTTTTGTCTTAATACAGTACTGAACTGGACTCAACAATGAGATCTATAATGAGAGATGTTTAATTTGGTCTTTCTTTAAAAAAACCCCACAATACAGTAAGTATTGACTTGATAATCTAAAATGAAGATATATAAACTCTGTGGTTAATCTGTTCTCTTGTCTGGGGGCCTGACAGCTGAGTGGACAGCGCTTCGGATTCGTAGTCCTGAGATTCCGGGTTCGATCCACAGTGGAGGTGGAAACAAATAGGCAGTGTTTCTTTCACCCTGATGCCCCTGTTACCTAGCAGTAAATAGGCACCTGGGAGTTAGACATCTGCTATGGGCTGCTTCCTGGGAGTTGTGTAGCAAAAAGGAGGCCTAGTCGAGGACCGGGCCACAGGGACGCTAAGCCCCCAAACCATCTCAAGATCTCAAGATAAGATTGTGTATACAGTACCCGGAGAACAATTGCATTGTAAACAAACAAATCTACAAGGGCCCTGATGAGGATTCGAACCTACGCACGGGATGTTCCGTGCTTGATTTGATATATCACGTTCTTGTGATTTCTGTGTGTTTGTGGATTGCATTGTATTTTTAACGTAAACGGCAGTCCTTTCAAAATGTGACTTAATAGGTGGGTTACTTGGGTTCATAGATTTTGGGTTAGGTTTAAAAGAGCTGCATTTTCTATGGTGTGGTAAAGCGAGAGAACTAGCTGGAATGTTGCCCTACCTTTTGCCCTTAGAGGGAGCCGGTCGGCCGAGCGGACAGCACGCTGGACTTGTGATCCTGTGGTCCTGGGTTCGATCCCAGGCGCCGGCGAGAAACAATGGGCAGAGTTTCTTTCACCCTATGCCCCTCTTACCTAGCAGTAAAATAGGTACCTGGGTGTTAGTCAGCTGTCACGGGCTGCTTCCTGGGGGTGGAGGCCTGGTCGAGGACCGGGCCGCGGGGACACTAAAAAGCCCCGAAATCATCTCAAGATAACCTCAAGATAACCTTCTTCTCTGTTAACGATTCAGACCTCCGATTGTCTTGACTATGCAGGTAATAATTCCTTAATCCCAAAAGTATACCGCTTCGTTCACTTTCATAATGATAAATGACTGAATATGAGTAATTCGACAGAACTGCACTATCATTACATCCACTACAGGAAAATGTGCTCTCTTTTTAAGCTGCAGTGCCATGTAAAATTACATTTTATATATGCAAATTATATACCGTTGGAACATTAACACTAAACTATATTACTGTACACAGATGGGAGCATTGTGCAAATAATCCTTAAAAGTACTGTATTATACAAACCCATTTCTTTGAACAGTATGTAAAAGACAAACCTTACCTACAGTACTGGCACGCCTTTCTGGATGACACAGCTATCACACACTTCTTCTCGTATGGGCAGGTGAACCCCTTGTGGGCATTGTTCTGCACCGAGCGCCGGAAGAAGGCCTTGCAAGAATCACAAGATAAACCGCCAAAGTGCATGGACTTGGCCACATCCCCGCACACACCACAGGCCTTATTTCCCCCAGAGCGGCCAGGGCTGTAAAAAACCACACGTGTTAATGAGAAAAGTCAATTAGCTGTAGGCCTATGATGGTAACAGCTACAGTACTTAAATGTATGACAGTAAAAATGTAACTAGCAAAAAATTGACCTGATCTGAGAAATATAATTTATCTGAGAGCCAGTATCTTTCTAGTGGCCATGATGGGGACAGGAAGCCAGCTGCTTGTCATATGTCCCTGCAAGATTTATACTGCATACCATCACCTGAAGATTTTTATTTATCTGGATTTTAAACTTAAGTAATGTTGTGGAATTTATGACTTTGGCAGGTAGGCAGTTCCATGGGTTAAAACCCATATGGGATAAAAAGCATCTTGTTTACTGCTTCACAGTAAACTGTGGCTTGTTGAGTTTGAAGCTGTTGCCCCTTATATGCATTACATTTGATCATTTTTATATGATTTGGTTTAAATATCCTCTAACTTGTTCAGTACTGTATTTTAAAGGTCTCGATGAGATTAGCCCTGTCATGTCTGGTTTACAGTTTAACCCTGTAGCCCTTAACCGTTCCTGGTATGAGAGGAAATTTAGTTCTGGGGTGATAGACAATTGAGATGTGCTGCTAGGCAGGTGTGCCCAATCCGGAGACGAATGATGGCAGTGTCGAGGAGTCGAGAATGATGACGAGTCCATGGACGCTGGGAAGAGCCTTCCCGGAGACCCGCCAGAGAGGAGGACCTGAGTGATGGCGTCATCACTGCTTCCCAACTCGCAAGGCAAGCCGCCTGGAGTTGCGGGAGAATTTCGAAAAGGTCCAGAGGCACTTATGTAGAGTCATGGAGAGCATGCGCCATCCCTGCTGCTGCATCGGCCACCTCATTGCCATTAATACCGACATGTGATGGAACCCATTAGAGATAGATCAACCAACTCGGAGTACCAGAGTATGACAGCAGTTCTCCACGGATCTGTGATACAGTATGACGATGGACTCGTGGACGCCGAGACGATATCAGATGTAGGGCTGTAACTGAGTCTATGCAGAAAACGACCGCAGAGGGCCCTGAAACCTGTCGTAAGAGTCGTAAGGCTAGTAAGATTGCAAACAGTTTCCCGGCCAGGCACGAATGAGCAGGGGGAGAGTTTCCACGTCTGACAGAAGGAAAAAGGAGCAAAGTATGCTGCCACAGAAGTGGATGGTGGCTGATCTTTGCGGGACCCATCCGTGTAAACCTCCAAGTATCCAGGGTATGAGGAGGCTCGTAGGTCTGCAAAAATTAAAGGCGCCAGACCCTCTAATTCCCTCTTCCGACGAGGAGGCTTGGAAAAGTCCACAGAAACCAGCGCTTGCCAGACCCGCTGGTCTGGCAAGCGGTTCCAGGTGAAGCTCATGACGCAACTTTTCACAGGGTTAATGGAGAGCCCCTTCCCCAGCACAATTGCAAAGTACAGAGTCACAGCGTTTTGCAGGGAGCCTTGTGCCTGCAGGAGTGGCACCATCCGCCACGAGGGTTACATCATTGGTATAGGCTAAAACCTGGACCTCCCCGAAATACTGGGAGATCAGACAGAAGAAAAGAGAATAATAGCAGGCTGAGAATTGCTCCTTGGGGGACCACCATGTATGACAGGGTGGGCTGTGGAGACAACTCCACTAACCCCCATATACCATACCACAGTATTCTCAGGATGGGGTGCCATTATCCCTGAAATACAACAGCTAACTTTATGACCACCTGTGCATGGACATATCCAAAGGAGGAACCACCAGAAAAAGCCATAAAACCCTCATACATAGTAAATAAAATGTGTGGTATCAATGACAGCCAGTCCAAAGGCTGTTGAGCAATGCTTCTCTCTGCCTGACGGAAGCAGTGATCAGCTTGCTAACTCTCTTGACGGCACCTCTGACTGGTGGGAGCTTCACTCTGGGCTTCATGTTCCACCAGTGTCACAATCCCCTGGGAAAGTGCCTGGGGGACCAGAAGACCATCAGGGCTATCTGATGGAGCAGAACCTCCTGATCGATGGGTGTGTCGGTGAGGCCGGTGTTGGCTTCTCTGGGGAGAGGCAGGAGCGTGACAAGTGTCAGGCTCCAGCCGAGACTGAGCGTCCATGTCTGTATCCGTGGATGAGTTTTCTTCCATGTCGAGGCGACCCAGGAGGGAAAATCGATTAGCAACCTGGGTGTATGAGGCATGTGACTGGGATAGGCAAGAGGGTCTGCTAGATCCTACTTGTGAAAAGGCCCAACCTGGGGGTAACTTGAAGGCAAGAAGGAGCGATAGGCTGATTGAGGGCTCGCAACCTCTAGAACCTCTTTGAGCAGTCTCCGTGGTGTAGTGGTAAGACACTCGCCTGGCATTCCGCGAGCGCTATGTCATGGGTTCGTATCCTGGCCGGGGAGGATTTACTGGGCGCAATTCCTTAACTGTAGCCTCTGTTTAACGCAACAGTAAAATGTGTACTTTTTATGAAAAAACGATTCAAAATGAAAAATTTTATGAAAAAACGATTTAAAATGTGTACTTTTTATGAAAAAACGATTCTTCGCGGCAGGGAATCGTATTCCAGGGACCATAGGATTAAGGACTTGCCCGAAACGCTACGCGTACTAGTGGCTGTACAAGAATGTAACAACTCTTGTATATATCTCAAAAAAAAAAAAAAAAAAAAAAAAAAAAAAAAAAAAAAAAAAAACAGTTCATGTCGAGGGGTCCCTGCTGTTTTATGTTCGATGTCCAACTGGAGGGCCTCAAGATATACCGGGGAACTCTTGGACGTAACTTTGTGATGGCCATGGCATAAAAGGCAGCGAGGGGCAGCAGAGCACCCACTGTTATCTCTTTCTGTATGGCTTGTTTTGCCAGTTTGCACAGCGTGCTGCATTACGGCAGGTGAGGTGACTGTGGCCCAATAGATGACAAGCATAGCATCATAACACAGGGAAGTTGTAGGGCTGAACCTGATACGAGGTCCTGAGTAGTGCCACCCGGTCAGGGAGGGGCCCATCGAACTTTACACGGACCATGGATGTCGGCCTTACTGCTCCGCGAATCCTGGCAACTTCCAATAATTCCGCTGATGCACCCCCCTAACACCTGCAGAGCGGCCTGGATGTCATCCTCTTCAACACTCGGGTCAACTGGGCCAATCTTCCCATACCGGGCCCAAGACTCCTCCTCTTGTGACAATACCTGTTGGCACCTGACAGGCCAGTCCCCCAACTTAATAATGTCGGATACTCGGACGTGCGATAGACCCTCCTTTCTGATGTGTAGCTTCAGTGCTGCACCCCTACCCAGGATACACACGGTCTCAGGCAGGCAATGTGGCCACAATACCGAAGGCTCAATTGCTGTACTTAAGGTACGAGGATTCGCAAACACACACTGACCTGTTGCTGACTGGATCAGGACTACCACAAACGAGGAACGGGGTACCACATGAGGAAGGTCTTCTGAAGGTGAAGACATCCTCTTAGCATCTCGCTCTGGGGCAGCATCAGCCAATTCATTTTCCAGCAGACGTTTTCCTCTCTGGGACTTGCTGTCAACGTCCATGGCGTCCCCGTTCGGGAAGGCGTCCATTAGGGAGGCTCCGGCCTCCTCCGGTGCTGGGAGTTCCTGGGTAACTGCAGCGAGCACACACTGGCCCAAAGAAGCCAGTTGAGTTCAAAGATGAGCTCCAGATGAGATGAGGAAAGAAAACCCAGCCAGGAGCGTTCAATCTGTGCGCCAAGATTAGGCCGACCCTCGCGCGGGAATCCATCTTCATTGCTTGTAAAGACCAGATCTAGAATATTTTTGTTTTTCGTTGGCTCTGATATCTGCTGGTTGAGTGAAAATTTGTCACAGAATCTAAGCAGTTCTCTAATCTGTAGTTGATTACATCTCGATAGATTTCCTGATATAATATTATTGTTTGCTATTCTCCATCTTAGATTAGGCAAGTTGAAGTCACCTATGAGGATTATAGCATATTTCCAACCTAGGGGGACTTTCCCTTGGTCCAGAGATTTTCTGTATAGACGTCACCATTCGCGAAGTGTGGGGCGAGTGTGTTACCACTGCGCCACAGGGACATACCTGGAGAGTGTTTCAAGAGTTCTTCTACTCCCCGAGCCCGGCCTGGCCTCAGTGGCCTCGACTGGCCTCTACTAATGGGACAGTGTTCACTCTCTAGGGTGAACACTGACGCAAAGCATTCCCTGTATTGGGCACCTTTTTTATCCACAATTATATACCTTGATTGGTCTCATTGGTTATTTGATAAGAAAATAATGACTGCAATACAGTATATCTAAGTTCTTGACAAATTACAAGCAAAAGACTTAAAAATGATACAGTTCTCTTACACTCAGAACCGAGAACAAACTTTAGAAAAATGATTCGGTTGCTGATGTAACAAGTGTCCACATGAGCTCACACTTAAGAGCTCATCATGAGGCCCATCATCAACCAAGCAACGAACCATCATCATCAACCCTTACCGTTTTTAGTTTAGTTCATTTATTATGCACCCCATACCCATCTTGTGGAACAAGAGTGGGGTATGTGGGGCTTAAACCCACCTAGCTGGGGAGGTAGGGGACTCGCTGGAGGCCGGGGAGGGGGGAGAATGAGGGGAGGGGAGCCGGAGGTTGTGATGGGAGCTGCTTGAAGAGGGGGAAGCGAGCCCCCCGCCCCTTCCAAGGCTCCCCCCTCCAAAAGCGCCGCCCCCGACCATCATGGCAGTCATCCCTGGCGCCTGCAATGGAGGAGAAAAACACGACGTTAGTTCATCGCCAATAACAATGGTGATTCATGCGTAATATGAGTGGTATATGGTTGATTCATGCGTAATATGAGTGGTACATGGTTGATTTATGCGTAATATGGGGGGTACATGGTTGATTCATGCGTAATATGGGAGGTACATGGTTGATTCATGCGTAATATGGGGGGTACATGGTTGATTCATGCGTAATATGGGAGGTACATGGTTGATTCATGCGTAATATGGGAGGTACATGGTTGATTCATGCGTAATATGGGTGGTACATGGTTGATTCATGCGTAATATGGGAGGTACATGGTTGATTCATGCGTAATATGGGGGGTACATGGTTGATTCATGCGTAATATGGGAGGTACATGGTTGATTCATGCGTAATATGGGAGGTACATGGTTGATTCATGCGTAATATGGGAGGTACATGGTTGATTCATGCGTAATATGGGAGGTACATGGTTGATTCATGCGTAATATGGGTGGTACATGGTTGATTCATGCGTAATATGGGAGGTACATGGTTGATTCATGCGTAATATAGGGGGTACATGGTTGATTCATGCGTAATATGGGGGGTACATGGTTGATTTATGCGTAATATGGGAGTATTATAGGTTAATTCGTACACAATATGGGGGTATAATAGGGTAATTCGTACACAATATGGGGGTATAATAGGGTAATTCGTACACAATATGGGGATTATACTATCACACAAGAAGTGATCTCTGGCAACGATGATATGGCTAGACGGTGGCAACACCTGGCAACTCTTCCGACCGCGTGACTGCCATACCAGCGACAACCATCTTGTGTATGGTAGCCATGTGGTGTATGGTAGCCATGTGGCGCCATGTGTATGGTAGCCATGTGGCGCCATGTGTATGGTAGCCATGTGGCGCCATGTGTACTCACCTATTTGTGCTTGCAGGATCGAGCATTGACTCTTGGATCCCGAATGTGTATGGTAGCCATGTGGCGCCATGTATCGTAGCTGACTGAAGCTCCTTTCTGATAGCTCTGTAACTCCCTGTAATGCTATAGATGGCTCTGTAGCTCCCTGTAATGCTATAGAAGGCTCTGTAGCCCCCTGTAATGCTATAGATGGCTCTGTAGCTCCCTGTAATGCTATAGATAGCTCTGTAGCCCCCTGTAATGCTATAGATGGCTCCGTAGCTCCCTGTAATGCTATAGATGGCTCTGTAGCTCCCTGTAATGCTATAGAAGGCTCTGTAGCCCCCTGTAATGCTATAGATGGCTCTGTAGCCCCCTGTAATGCTATAGATGGCTCTGTAGCTCCCTGTAATGCTATAGATGGCTCTGTAGCTCCCTGTAATGCTATAGAAGGCTCTGTAGCTCCCTGTAATGCTATAGATGACTCTGTAGCTCCCTGTAATGCTATAGATGGCTCTGTAGCTCCCTGTAATGCTATAGAAGGCTCTGTAGCCCCCTGTAATGCTATAGATGGCTCTGTAGCTCCCTGTAATGCTATAGATGGCTCTGTAGCTCCCTGTAATGCTATAGAAGGCTCTGTAGCTCCCTGTAATGCTATAGATGACTCTGTAGCTCCCTGTAATGCTATAGATGGCTCTGTAGCTCCCTGTAATGCTATAGAAGGCTCTGTAGCCCCCTGTAATGCTATAGATGACTCTGTAGCCCCCTCTAATGATGTATCTGGCTCTATAGCCCCCTGTAATGCTATAGATGGCTCTGTAGCTCCCTGTAATGCTATAGAAGGCTCCATAGTCCCTCTGTAATGCTATAGAGTGCTCTATAGACTCCTTGCTGCACAGTACCACCACCCCCCCCAACGTCCAGCGTGCCCAAACGCCTCCTCATCTGCCTCTATCACCTTGGCGCCAATTCCAGCCTTCACTTTGGCGCCAAAACAAGTCTCCTCACCCCCACCCCCCTACCCGCTCAGGGACGAGACAGTACATATATGACTTTTTGCTTATAGCCAATATTTGGCTTATTCATTAGTACATATGTGGTATATTCTAAGTTATATTTTGTTTTCAATGTACAAACTCTTCCTATTGATTAGCTGTTCACCAGTTTTAATATATGGAATTTCTTTTACAATTTTATTAAACAATAGAGATTTTATACAAAATTTGACAATATCCTGAGTTACTTTACAATTTATTTAAATATTTTAGTTTTGTTTTATTAATTTAATAAAACTGTAATACCAATATAGGTATAAGTTAAGTACTAATTGTAATTAAGAAGCAATAAGATGCTTATCTTAACATACTGAAAAAGGTTAGGTGAGGTCGGTGTTTTCTATTCAGCATTTCCAGGTAAACTCAAATATTCACAATAAATTAGTATGCCACATATGCACTTATTAATAAGCCAAATATTGACTGTAGGCAAGTGCGAGAACGGGTTGCTGGGGGGACACGTTAGGGAGGGGGGCTCTACCCCCCCCCTCCCCCCACAAAAGTACCCCAGAAAAGCTTGCGAAATCCTCCCAGCTTCGAGGACCCAACAACCTTGACTAGTGCTGATATCAACCACTTGAATGGTTAAGTCCGCGAGCATAGGGTCTGGACCACAGGGGCCTGGTTGTGGACCACAGAGCCTGGTTGTGGACCACAGGGGCCTGGTTGTGGACCACAGGGGCCTGGTTGTGGACCACAGGGGCCTGGTTGTGGACCACAGGGGCCTGGTTGTGGACCACAGGGGCCTGGTTGTGGACCACAGGGGCCTGGTTGTGGACCACAGGGGCCTGGTTGTGGACCACAGAGCCTGGTTGTGGACCACAGAGCCTAGTTGTGGACCACAGGGGCCTGGTTGTGGACCACAGGGGCCTGGTTGTGGACCACAGAGCCTGGTTGTGGACCACAGGGGCCTGGTTGTGGACCACAGGGGCCTGGTTGTGGACCACAGAGCCTGGTTGTGGACCACAGGGGCCTGGTTGTGGACCACAGGGGCCTGGTTGTGGACCACAGAGCCTAGTTGTGGACCACAGGGTCCTGGTTGTGGACCACAGAGCCTGGTTGTGGACCACAGGGGCCTGGTTGTGGACCACAGAGCCTAGTTGTGGACCACAGGGGCCTGGTTGTGGACCACAGAGCCTGGTTGTGGACCACAGAGCCTGGTTGTGGACCACAGGGCCTGGTTGTGGACCACAGGGTCCTGGTTGTGGACCACAGGAGCCTGGTTGTGGACCACAGAGCCTGGTTGTGGACCACAGGGCCTAGTTGTGGACCACAGAGCCTGGTTGTGGACCACAGGGTCCTGGTTGTGGACCACAGGGTCCTGGTTGTGGACCACAGAGCCTGGTTGTGGACCACAGGGCCTAGTTGTGGACCACAGGGGCCTGGTTGAGGACCACAGAGCCTGGTTGTGGACCACAGAGCCTGGTTGTGGACCACAGAGCCTGGTTGTGGACACAGGGGCCTGGTTGTGGACCACAGGGGACTGGTTGTGGACCACAAAGCCTGGTTGTGGTCCACAGAGCCTGGTTGTGGACCACAGAGCCTGGTTGTGGACCACAGAGCCTAGTTGTGGACCACAGGGGCCTGGTTGTGGACCACAGAGCCTGGTTGTGGACCACAGAGCCTGGTTGTGGACCACAGAGCCTGGTTGTGGACCACAGAGCCTGGTTGTGGACCACAGAGCCTGGTTGTGGACCACAGAGCCTGGTTGTGGACCACAGGGTCCTGGTTGTGGACCACAGAGCCTAGTTGTGGACCACAGGGGCCTGGTTGTGGACCACAGGGGCCTGGTTGTGGACCACAGAGCCTAGTTGTGGACCACAGGGGCCTGGTTGTGGACCACAGAGCCTGGTTGTGGACCACAGAGCCTGGTTGTGGACCACAGGGGCCTAGTTGTGGACCACAGAGCCTGGTTGTGGACCACAGGGGCCTTGTTGTGGACCACAGGGGCCTGGTTGTGGACCACAGAGCCTGGTTGTGGACCACGGAGCCTGGTTGTGGACCACAGGGGCCTAGTTGTGGTCCACAGGGGCCTGGTTGTGGACCACAGAGCCTGGTTGTGGACCACAGGGGCCTAGTTGTGGTCCACAGGGGCCTGGTTGTGGACCACAGAGCCTGGTTCTGGACCACAGAGCCTGGTTGTGGACCACAGAGCCTGGTTGTGGACCACAGAGCCTAGTTGTGGACCACAGGGGCCTGGTTGTGGACCACAGAGCCTGGTTGTGGACCACAGAGCCTAGTTGTGGACCACAGAGCCTGGTTGTGGACCACAGGGTCCTGGTTGTGGACCACAGAGCCTAGTTGTGGACCACAGGGGCCTGGTTGTGGACCACAGGGGCCTGGTTGTGGACCACAGAGCCTAGTTGTGGACCACAGGGGCCTGGTTGTGGACCACAGAGCCTGGTTGTGGACCACAGAGCCTGGTTGTGGACCACAGGGGCCTAGTTGTGGACCACAGAGCCTGGTTGTGGACCACAGGGGCCTTGTTGTGGACCACAGGGGCCTGGTTGTGGACCACAGAGCCTGGTTGTGGACCACAGAGCCTGGTTGTGGACCACAGGGGCCTAGTTGTGGTCCACAGGGGCCTGGTTGTGGACCACAGAGCCTGGTTGTGGACCACAGGGGCCTGGTTGTGGACCACAGAGCCTGGTTGTGGACCACAGAGCCTGGTTGTGGACCACAGAGCCTGGTTGTGGACCACAGGGGCCTAGTTGTGGACCACAGGGGCTTGGTTGTGGACCACAGAGCCTGGTTGTGGACCACAGAGCTTGGTTGTGGACCACAGAGCCTGGTTGTGGACCACAGGGGCCTAGTTGTGGACCACAGGGGCCTGGTTGTGGACCACAGAGCCTGGTTCTGGACCACAGGGGCCTAGTTGTGGTCCACAGGGGCCTGGTTGTGGACCACAGAGCCTGGTTGTGGACCACAGGGCCTGGTTGTGGACCACAGGGGCCTGGTTGTGGACCACAGGGTCCTGGTTGTGGACCACAGGTGCCTGGTTGTGGACCACAGGGCCTAGTTGTGGAC